GGATAGATGCCAGATATGAAGTCAGATGAGTTCAAATCTGGCCTCAGAAATATACTAGCTGTGTGACCCTGGGCAAATCACTTAATCCTGTTTGCTTTAATTTCCTCATCTGTAGAATGAGCTAGAGTAGGAAATGAGAAACCATTCCAGTATCTTTGCCAAGAAAATCCCAAAAAGGGGTCACAAAGAGATGGACACAATTGGAAACAATTGAAGGACAACAAGTGGTATTGCTGGGTCCAAGAGTATGCACAGTTTTATAGCCCTTAGGGCATAGTTCCAAATTGCTTTTCAAAATGGTTGGATCTGTTCACAACTCCATCAGAGCTGCATTAGTGTCCCTATTTTTCTACCTCCACTTCTGCATTTGTCGTTGTTCTTCTTTGTAATGTTAGCCAGTCTAATAGATGTGAGATGATACCTCAGAATTGTTTTAATTTACATTTTTCTAATAAATAGTGATTTAGAGCACGTTTTTCATATGATTATAGACAGCTTTAATTTCTTTATCTGAAAACTGCCTGTTCATGTCCTTTGATCATTTATCAACTGAGGAATGACTTGTATTCTTATAAATTTGACTCAGTTCTCTATGTATTTGGAAAACAAGGCCTTTATCAGAGATACTTGCTGTAGAACATTTCTCCTAGTGTCCTGCTTTCCTTTTAATCTTGCCTGCATTGGTTTTGTTTGTGCAAAACTTTTTTTTTTGGGGGGGGGGCTAGGCAATGGGGTTAAGTGACTTGCCCAGGTCACACAGCTAGTAAGTGTTATGTGTTTGAGGCCGGATTTGAACTCAGGTCCTCTTGAATCCAGGGCTGGTGCTCTATCCACTATACCACCTAGGTGCCTCCCGAGCAAAACTTTTTAAATGTAATTTATGTTATCCACTTTACTTTTTATAATGTTCTCTATCTCTTGTTTGGCCATAAATTCTCCTGTTATTCTCAGATCTGACAGGTAAAATTTTCCATGCTCCTCTAATTTGCTTGTGATATCACCCTTTATGTCTAAATCATGAAACCATTTTGACCTCATCTTGGTATACATTGTGAGATACTAGTCTATAGCTAGTTTCTGCCAAAGTGCTTTCCAGTTTTCCCAGCAATTTTTGTCAAAGGGGAAATGTTTGAGAGTTCATCTGAGTTCTTGCCTTTCTTCCTCCATCTTCCTAATAACCTTTTGAATTCTGATATCTACAAGATTGTGACTGACTGCTTTTTCCTCCTCTGTAGGGCTTGGGCCCCACACCCACCTCCTCTGCAGCAGCCCCTGAAAATGTCTACCAGGTATATGCACAGGGGAGGGGGCAGGTCTCATTTTTGGTCTGTTACCCTGAAAGTTGGGTTAAAGAAGGCAAATAAGTTAGGTGATACATGATTATATAGTTTATTCCCTTTTAGCTAGCGAATCGTGTTAACATGGAAGCCAGAATGTGATTCTGACTCGGAGATTAAGCAAAATGAGAGAGGTTTCATACAGTTTAGAGTGAGCAGACTCAGGATGTCTGTGTTACAAAAAAAAGGTACAGCCTCCATATGTTTCTTAACATACAGCATATAAAAAGGAAGTTACTTAATTGCATAGATTGTAAATACAATAGAAGAATGTCAAAGTATCAATCAAAATTATAGATCCAGGATATGTGTTTCCTCTACATAACGTATGTCTATAGGATACAAAAGAAGGAAAAGTCTCATTAATCAAGAGAGTGTCTGGTCCCAGACATCCTGGGCTCAGTGATGACAAACAGGAAGAATGTTGGTGAGCTCCATCTGGTCCTGAAATTTGCTGACACAGGAAGGGGTGTTTTCAGTTCACTCAGAGAGAAAAAGATTAATTCAGGTTTTGGCCCCTACTGGGGCCCAATTGATCTCAAATGATTATCAGGTCCAAGGGAGAGGCAAAAATGCTGATTGGGAATGAATTTCTGATCAATGACAGAGTCCAAGAATATGGCTGGGATGGAGGAAATGAGATAATGGACGTGGCAGAAAAGATCCCTTCCCAGGCTTCACCTCCCCTTCTCCCCCTGAAGTTAATCATGTCTACTGTTTCCATTTCCAGGCACTGGATGTTTCCCAAGTGGCTGTTTATGAAAGGTTTGCTGCCGGGAGCAAGCCTCAAACCGAGGAAGGTGGGAGGAGTCCCTAGAGATGATATCACAACCTGACTGCTTTCCTTGATTAAGGTAAGATTCATAGGCAGCTCTCAGGGGAGAAAGAGACCAGGGGCAGGAGAGAAAAAAGGGTCAGTTTGAGCCTTCCAAGGCATCCGAGGGATCAGGGGTATTCAAACCTTACAATAAAGAAAAGAAACTTGTGATGTGTGTACCTGAGCTGATTGACAATCCAGGTACCTATTGATTGGATTTTAGGTAAGGAATCTGTGTTCTGGGAACTGAACTGCTTCAATAACATAATATTTTCCAATCTTCTTTCTGTCCTCTAGTTTCTAAGGAAAAGTTTAGTCTAAACAGTTCCACCTTTGTTTCTGCTGAGCTAAAAGGGAGATGACCATCAGGTCTCTTCCAGCTGGACAATTCTATGGTTCTAAAAGTCTATGTATAACCTTGAGGAATCTCTGCTGTGTCCAGAAGGTTGAAGCATTGGGCCACCGCTTATCCCACCAAGGGCCCCTCTACTGTGGATCCAAGTGGTTTGGACTAGGTTCAGCCCTGAAGGAGCCTGGTCTCTAATGAGAGGTGGTAGCTAGACTGCTTTAGTTTACATAATCCCAGTTCTTAAGGAACAAATTTAATATAGTTTAGTTTAAGGCTTATGTACTGGTTATCCCCCAAAGGGGTGAAGAGTAGAAGCATGTATCGGTTTACAAGATGATTCAAGTGTGGGACAAGTACTTATTTTTCTATATATGAAAGAAATGAGAGATACAAAAGACTCATGGAACACATTAACATCTTAAAACAAGATTCACCAACTTCACATATAACTACTATTGCAACCTGCTATAAGAGGATATTTAAACCTCGTAATAACATAAAGCAGTCTACAAGACTGATGATTAAGCATTTTGAATTTTGCCTAGGTTCTGTATTTTCCAGACAATTCTTGTTGCATGTCTGCTAGTGCAACAATTAGTTTGGGACCAATACTCTTGTCCTATACACATGGAGACTCAGGATGAGAAGACCGATGATCTTTTAAACACAAACTATTCAGGAAAGAACCCTCTATTCGTTAAAAACAAAAAACAAAAAAACTTGGGAAAACTAGCAATTCTTCCAGCAGAAATTAGGCTTAGACTAACACCTCAGACCATCTTTTCACAATAAACTCTGAATGGATACACAACATTAATATTAAAGATCATACTATAAAAAATTGGAAGAAAAGCACATGCTAAAACTAAGGGCATGATATGCATTCTTTTTTTTTTTCAGTCAAAGACAAGATGTATTAGAATGTCTGACATATTGGCTGGACTCTTTTTTTTTTTTTTTGACAATTGGGATTAAGTGCCTTGCCCAGGGTCACACAGCTAGTAAGTGTCAAGTGTTTGGTCTGAGACTGGACTTGAACTCAGGTCCTCCTGGCTTCAGGGCTAGTGCTCTATCCACTGCACCACCTAGCTGCCCCTAGACTCTTAAGGAATCTAAGCATTTGTATTGCTAATGCAAGCCGGCCAGATCTTAAGAATCTGAGCCCATGGCTAGATTTTAAGAATCTGAGCCAGGCTATGCAGCCTTCACAAAACAAAAGATATAGGCAATTACATAAAATAAAACAAATATCTTTAATTACATGAAACTGAAAAGTTTATGTTTATGCAGCTAGGTGGTACAGTGGTTAGAATGTTGGAACTGGAGGTGGAAAGATTTGAATGTAAATCCAGCCTTAGACAGTTAACTAGCTGTGCAACCCTGAGGAAGTCACTTAACTTCTGTTTCCCTCAGTTTCCTCATCTGTAAAATGGGTATAATAACAGCATCTACTACCTGGGGTGGTTGTGAAGTTCAAATAAGATAATCATTATAAAACATTTAGCACTGTGCCTGGTACATGGTCAGTGCTATATAAATGTTAATTATTATTCTTTGTAGAACACTTTACAAACCTTAAAACACCATATAAATGTTAGCTATTGTTATGTATAGACAAAATGTAGATAGCATAAGAAGGGAGTTCATTGAATAGGAAAAAGAATCTTTGGATCAAATTTCACTGATAAGGATTTGGTATCCAAAATATATAGACAATTAATAGACAATTAATTAATATATGTATGTACACACATATTTGTATATGGATATACATTTACATATATTTTAGTATATAGATATATTTATATAAGTAAATAGAAAACCAAAAGCCATTCCTCAATAGACAAGTAGCCAAAGGATATTAACAAACAATTCTCCAAAGAGGAATTGTAAAGAATTAACATGGAAGAATGCTCCAAATCACTACTAGTAAAAGCAATGCAAACCAAACACCTCTGAGGTTTTACCTGGCCCTGCAAATTGGCAAAGATGACGAAAGATGGGAATGGTCAATTTTGGAGGAGTTGTGGGAAAATAAGCACACTGGTGCTTTTTTGGTGGAACTGTGGATTGGACCAAATATTTTGGAAAGCAATTTGGAATTATGGAAATAAAAATGACTGAAAGGTCAGAGATTTCATTATCAAACTTACATCCTAAGGAGGCCACTGATAAGAAGAAAGTCCCCACATACACCAAAATATTTCTAGCAGCATTTTTTGTGATAGCAAAAAATTGAAAGCAAAGTTGGTGCCCTTCGATGGGGAAATGACTTAACAAAATGTGATGCATGGATGTAATGACATATGACCGTGCTGTAAGAAATGATGAATATGTGATGACTACAAAGAAGAATGGGAAGATCTTCGCTTTTGCCCTCCTTTTTTGTCTTTTAAAATGCTATTTGTTATATGGGGCTCTCTGGGAATGGAGGAAGAGACACTGGGGAAAACTCTAGGGGGAAACTATGGCTATGTAAAGAAACAAAGGACATCAATAAAACTATTTATTATTATTATTATTTTATTGAGAGACTATGGAATCAATAGGGTCCTCTTCTTTCATGTCACTCAACTCTTCCTGCTCATGGAAACTTGTCCTCTGGCCATGTGTCTCCTCCTCATAGGAAAGTATCTCAAGTGGCCACTACCCTTCTATCCTCCCTCTTTCTCTCTTCTGGGGGGCTGGGTGTGGGGAGGATAGCCTCTCCAGTTTGTCCTTCATACTCTCACCCTCAATGGCGCTGACCTCCACATGGTCCTCATTTTTGACACCAGATACCACATAGCAGCAACAGAAGGGCATAATCAGTAGTGTGTGGGAAGTGCTACCCTTCCCTTGGTGTTCCTCCAATGCCTTCTTCAGTCTTGGCTGAGAAGTTTCCCTAAGTTCCTTACCTAGGGAACAGAGAGAGTCCAGAATGTGCCACATTCCCACAGAAAAGAGTTCACCTGGTTCAGCAACTGGTGGATGACCTTGGCATCTTTAATGACCGACCAAGTTCGAAGTGCTCCACAGTGCCTGCTCCCACTGCCTTCATGGCCTGTTGGGACAAATTGTTCCTCTGGGGAAATATTTACATGCTTGGGGTAGACCCCCACCTCCAACTCACCAGGGGGTTTAAGGTCCATAGGTTACCCTCCACCTGGTTTAACCCATATGCAGAAAGTTTTCCCAGAATGTGGCTGCTCTGCATGCTACAGCACCTTGGAGCCGCAGGTGAGAGTTGGGTGGCAGGTAAACAGCAAAAATGGAAAGCAGCCTTGAAAAGAGCTAAGCAGCCCTCACACCAGACGTATTAGTTTTCCCCTAACACCCCACATACCCCAATAAAACTAATACAATGTAGGCAATGCAAAGGGCCAAGGAAAGTTTGAGACAAAAGGTTCTAAGACAATCTGAGGAGGAGGCTGGCAGCTGGGGAGAGGGACATCCAGAAGGGCTTCCTGGAGGAGGTAGAAGCCCAGCTAAGCCTGGAAGAAGAGGATTTCAGCAGGGCCCCTCCAGTGCAAATACAGGAGGGGATGATGACTGGTCAAGAAGGAAGGAAAAACACCTGGACTCTCAGAAATTCTCTGTCAGGTATGGCTTGAACTAGATGGGACCACTGTACCCTAGTCCAACTCTTAAATTGGATGATTATGTAAAAGAAGCCAAGTTTGCCAGAACACCGAGATCCCAAAGAGGAGTGCGATTTTAAAATCCAGCCATGAAAAGATGTGGTGGATCGAGACATTCTGGGTGGAGGGAGAGAGAACACCTGGAAACAACTTGCTTCCCTCCAACTTTCTGCAGTGATGTTCTGAGACCAGAAAATGCTGGGCACTGCCTTGGGGGTTTTGCTTCTGGGGTCCCTGGAGGAGCACAAGGTCTTTGCCTGGTGGCATTCCCTCCCTCCCCCTGCTGCTGCTGGCTCCAAATGGCTCCTGACACATGAGGAGTTTGCTCCTTGCCTTGACCTCCTCCCTTCTTGTTGGCCATCCCTTCCGATGCTTCCTGGGTGTCCTGCTGGCCCCACTCTCTTCTAGCTCAACAAGGCAGGGGTTGTCCATGATGAATGGCTTCCCCTGGAATCTAAAATCACCAGCTGCTGTTCCTCCTCTTCTCCAACATGGAGCTGCCCTTGGGCTGGTCACAGCTGGCCCTTTGGCCAATGACAGCACCTAAAGCTGGAAGGAGCCTCAGACACCTGAGCTTCAGGGCACTCTGGCTGAGTTTTTCTCCTTCAATATCTCTAGGACTCCTTTTTTTTTTAATACACGTTTCTTTTATTTCATCATACACAAGACAAAAGGCTGTGTTGTATAGTGAAAAGACAATGGATTCTGACTTAGGAAGATCTGAGATCAAGACCTGTTCAGACAGTTTTGCTACTTCTGTAGCAATGGGCTGATCACTTCATGTGTTAGTCTTGAGCACCTATCTAAGAGTGGAAAGAGGGTTGACCTTGGAGTCAGGGGCCTGAGTTCAAATCTTGCCCTGCGAGTTGCTGTCTGCATGATCCCTGATGAGTGGCAACACTTGGCCTCAGTTTTCTCATCTATAAAATGAGGTCATTGGACTAGATCAGGGGTTCTTAGATTTCAGGGCTTTATAAATTTGGATAGGAAAAAAATCTAATATTTATTTTTAATAACTTTGGTTTCCTATGTAATCCTTTGTATTCCATTTTATAAATTTAAAACCGTGATTCTGAGAAGGGTCCATAGGCTTCCTCAGACTGACCGATCAAGGCGCCCATGAGACAAAGATGATGAAGAGCCAGCAGTCATGATGATCTCTGAGGTCCCTGCCAGTTCTGAATGTGTTACCCTATAACCCTATGAACTGTGATCAAAGGCTTGGAGGTGGGAGAGCATGAGACGTGTCCTGGAGGCGGAGGGTTATCATGTTTGGTCAGAGGATATAACATAGGTGGAAAGGAGTGGGATGAGATAAGGCTGCAGAGGAAGGACGGCTCAAGGGAGTGTAGGGGCCTGAACACCAGTTAAAGGACTCTGACCCTGAGATGGTAGCTAATAGTGAGCTCCTTGAGGAGAGGAGTGCCATGACCAGATCCTCACACAATTCCAACTATTTTCACAGTGGTGTGATGGATGGGTTGGGGGGGCACAAAGAAAGGTAGAAAAACCCTGCTATGTCGTAATGATGAAATCCTCCATTTAACCCTGAAGAAGAACCTTAGATATCATTTAGTTCACTCCCCTTATTTTACAGATGAGGAGACTGAGTGCATGAGAGGGGAAGGGGCCTGGTCAAGGTAGGAAGTGGCAAAGTCAGGACATGAACCCAGGGCCCACTGACTCCAAATCCAAGACTCTTCCAGTGTACTTCATAGTGTGTAAGGATGGCCTATGTCCTTCTCTGTCATCTCTACAATCAGTCCTCCATAGCTCCTGCCACATGTGCTCAGGGCATCCTGGCAGAGAACATTACTTGAAAGCCTTGCTATAGCCTTCTCTCCCTCCAGGCAAAGCCCACTTAGTGGGACCTGCCTCCCCATAAAAACATAAGAGCTCACACTTGGACGATTCCTTAAATATTGCAAAGAATTGTACACAGATGAGCTCATTTGATCCGCCTAGCAACTCTGTGTGGTAGGTGCTATTATTATCCCTATTTCACAAGAAGGAAACTGAGGCACAAAAAAGTGCTTAATATATTCTTGTTCCTTATTCCCTTAGTTCCTTAGTGACCTTAGTCACTAGGTTATGCAAGTGCTTGACCCTGTCTCCAAGGGGAAATAGACCAGGACAGAACACGCCATCTCCAGTGTTTCCCATTCAACTTCTTGCCTGAAAGCATAAATACAGGGCAAGAAACAACGAGACCAACTTATTAATCCCTAAGGATATTATAATCGATGCTGTTCTTTCTTCTCTCAGAGACAAAGTCTCTTGGGTTGACCTCGGTGGGACACCAGGAAGAGGTGCTCAGATCCGATCGGGAGGGCAGCTTTTCGTTGCACGTTGGGAGAGGACATGTAAAGAAAGAGCCTGGCTCTAGGGAATATGGTCAGAGTTATAATGAACATCAATCCACTTCCACCAACTTTGTCCTTGGTAAATATGGAAACCAGTCTCCTTCCATCCTCCAATAACCTTAGAAACTATCACATACAGTACAAGCTCGTTCGTCATTCTGCACACATTTAGGTACCCACTATGTGAAGAGCACTGTGCTAGTTACTGAGGAAATACAAGGTTTAGTTAAGACTCCATTCCTACTTTCAACAAGCTTACAATTTAATAGAAAGATGAGACCTTGACACAGGAAACTGATCCATAATATTACACGATGACTATACGGACATTGCAGCTGCAAAACAGTGTCTGGAAGGCCTGGGGTGGGGGAGGGCGGGAACTCAATTCCATTTGGAGGTTGGGCAAAAATCAGGTCAGGTTGCATGGAAGAGGTATCTTTTGAGTTATGTTTTAAAATATGGGTCCAGAGTTCAACATGTGAAAGGGGAGAAGGGAAAACATTCTGTTTCAATGAAGAAATGGCCTGAACAACAGTTCAGAGGTGGGATAGTATAGGGTGTGTTTGAAACTGGAAAATATACCAATGCAGCTCGGGCAAATGATGCAGAACCAGGAGACGTATTAGAGAGGATTGCTACCATTTTGTGAAGGGCCTTCAATACCAGGCCAAGGACACTGAAGGTTACTCAGTAGCCAGTAGGGAGTCACTGAGGCTTTGTTAGCAGAGAAGAGACATGACCACACACACGGCTACTTGAAGGATCAATAGAAGGAGCCAGGGAAGGTTAGCCTAAAGAAAAGAAGACTTGAAGAGGAGAGGAGAGTTTTCTCCAAGTACAGAAAAAGTTTAGAAGCTCAGAAATGTGTAAAATACGTGTATGGCATTGTATAATATCGATACGTTTTATCTTTCAGTATCATAATAATTTAGAATTCTTCTCTGGCATGAAGGGAGGGACAAAAACTTTTACATAGGTTTTCTAGATTGCAGGGCCCCATGCCCCTAACCCCTGTGATGTGGAAGGGATAAATGTATTAGTTCTTGACTGTCAGGACTGTTTAGTTCTCTATTCCATGAATAAGTGAATAAATAAATGAAAATGCATTTATTAGATGCTTACTGTGTCACCTGAATTTTTCTAAGTGATAGGGATACAAATATATATAAAAGGGACCTCGCCCACAGTAAGTTTACATTTTAATAGGGGGAGATTCCACATACGGGGGAATGGTAAGCAGGTATGGACATGTCCCTTTGGAAAGTTACAAAGATCTTAAGTGGAGTCAAGAGCAAGGTTAGTGTTGATTTAATTTTGGTCCCAGAACTTGAAAGCAGGAGAGAAGGGGAATAAACTTGGGAGTCCCAAGGGAGGAGTACCAATTGTGAAAATGTTGAGCCCTGAAAGGCTTGGTTTATGGATCAGGCAGCATGGCAGCTGATGAGGGACAGTCTGGGATGGGCTGATTTGTGACTAGAGCCTCAAGTCCAAGCTTGATGATCACTTAACATAAGAGTTGTAGAGAGGATTGACATTCCCTGTCTGGACTGGACAAGGTGTGCCCTAAGATCTCTTTGAAATTTAAGGATTCATGACTGTGGGGTCTCTATAACCCCTTCTAGTTGTGACATTTTATGGCCTAGAGTCTCTCCCAGCTCTGACGTTCTCTAACCTAAGATTTCTCCTAGCTCTGATCTTCTCTATGCAGAAGTCCTATTGACCTCTGACATTTTAGTTGTCTCTGACTTCTGATTTGCCTTCTCTAGAGCTTGGATTCCTCATCTGCCACCACATCTGAGAGTTTCTACCAGGAATGTGCATAGGGGGCCCAGACCTCACACAGACACTGAGGGAGATGACAAAAATTCTGGCTGAAGAGCTGAGGAACTGAGCCAGGATGGAGGGAAGGAGATAAAGAGACTCCTGGGATTTCCTTTCCGTCTGAGATGCCAGTGACATCTTCTCTCTCTCTCCATAGACGCTGGACATCACCGGGGTGGATGTTTATGAGAAGATTGTTCCTTGGAAAACTAATCAACCCTATAAAGGAGAAAGGAGTCCCTAAAGATGATGTCACAGCCTGGTTGCTTTTCTTCACTAAGGGGATGCTCATAGACAACTCTTTTGGGAAAAAAGCTAAGGGCAAGGAGGGAAACCAACCAGGAGAAAGAGAAAGAGTCGGGTTTGAGGAGAGGGGAGGCTTCAGGGTGCCAGAGGTATCCATATTCACTTATTCATGGAATAGAGAACTAAACAGTGAACTAAACCAGGCAAGGAGAAGAGGAAGTACAGGGGCCAGACCTGCTTGTGCTGAGCTGTCTGGAACCTGGGTCACCCAGTGGCTTCATTTGTAGTCCAGGGTCCGTGCTCTGTGAACTCAAGGGCTTCAACATCTTAATATTTCCATGTCTTTTACTTTCCCCTCTATCAGTTTCCAAATAAAAGTTCTTTTTGAAAATTTCTGTCCACATTCCTGTTGGATAACCATTTAGATATTCTCTTAGGTTCCCTCCAGGTGGAAATTTTTCTGGTCTAATTCTCAGATTCCTGGATTCAACGGTCCTACAGTCCTACGAGTTTGTGGAGTAAGAGCCCTTTGATTCTGGACAAGACAACCTCTGGCTTGAACAATATAATCCCTGAAATCTCCTTCAGCGGAAAATTCCACCATCATTTGAATTTAATCTGTCCACTCTGTGAACACATTCAAAATGGAAGCCATTACATTTCCCTTAAACCTGCCCGTGCTACAAACTACTCTCTTTCTGTTGAGGAAAGCAGCATCCTCCCATTCACCATCTCCTCTTCGGAGGTATCCCTGAGTCATTCCTCTGTCTCATCCCCCACCCCATGTCTAATTTATTCCCAAGCCTTGTTCATTCTACCACAATAGCATTTCTTATATTCACCTGCTCTTATCACCTCACACAGCCACTATTATACTTCAGGCATCTATGACTGTTTGCCTGACCGACCGCTTCCTAATCCATCTTCCTGACTCCAGTCTCTCGGTTCTCCTGCCCATCCTCCACAAAACTGCCAAGTCAATATTCCTAAAGCTCAGGACTGATGACATCATTCCTCTGCTCAAAAAGTGACTCCTAATTGCCTTTAAGATAAAGACAGACTCCTCTGTTTGACATTTAAAGTGTTCTGCAATCATTCTTTTTTCATGCAGCATTTTCCAGTCCAACTGGTTGAGCAATTGTCCTGAATACATGACACTCCATCTCCCACCTGTGCACCTTCACACAGGTTGTCCCCTCTACCTGGAATGCTTTCCCTGCTTTTCTCCAACCTCCTCTAGGGATCAGTCAGTCAGTCCAAAAGCATTTATTAAGCACTTACTATTTGACAGATGCTGTGATAAGCATAAGATCAAGTGAAATCCTATTTGTAAAGTGCTTAGCCCAGTGCCTGGCCCAGAGTAGGTGAATGATCAATACAAATTCCTTCTAAGTGCTGGAGGTACAAAGAAAGGGCCTTACTTTCAAGAAGTTTGCATTCTAATGAGGGTGACAGTGATCAATTAACTATGTAAATACAAAATGAGCTCAGAGTAGCCAGAGGAAGATCTGGGAGGGAAGGATTTCTGAGGTCCCTTCAAGCCAGTGTAGGTGCCTCCTCTTACCTTTTCATATTCATTGCTTCATGGGGCAGCTAGGTGGTGCAGTGGATACAGCATCAGCCCTGAAGTCAGGAGGACCTCAGTTCAAATCTGGCCTCAGACCAAACACTTGACACTTACTAGCTGTGTGACCCTGGGCAAGTTACTTAACCCCAATTGCCTAAACAAAGGAACAAAATCGTCCATTACTTCAGAGTTTTGAGCTCAAAGTCTAGCCCGGGTATTTTATTTTATTTTTTTTTTTGGCAATTGGGGTTAAGTGACTTGCCCAGGGTCACATAGCTGGTAAGTGTCAAGTGTTTGGTCTGAGGCCAGATTTGAACTCTGGAATTGAGGAATATACTGAAGAAATCCTGTGACCTTGGGGAAGAGGGCAGCCTCACCTGGCCTTATGGAGACTCCAGTCAGGCTTCTTGGGCCTCAGGAAGAGAAGACTGCTGATATTTCCTCCTGATGTGTCAGCACAGGAAGCGTTATCTAAAAAAAACCCCTAAAATCACTTAATTATTTTTCCTTAAATTCCTGCATGTAGATCATCCTTTGTTTATGATTTGTGAGTGGCACACATCTTGGAGAAGTGGGTAGACTATATGAAGCTGGAAAATAGATATTCTATGATATTCTATGATATTCTATATGCAGACTATAGATATTAGATAAACAGATAGATAGATAGATAGATAGATAGATAGATAGATAGATAGATAGATAGATAGACGATAGCTGTTCCATGGGTCATTTTCCCTCTTTATTGGAGCTATGCAATGATTAAAACTCAAAATTCAGATGAGCAAGTCAGGCTGCTGACACTGAGGTGAGAGGCAATTCCAACATGGAAATCATATGGCCATATCTCAGTAAAATATAGTGAAAATGGATGAAGCAGGGTTTCTGGCAGGTAGGGGCTCAGAACTATTCTGATTGTCTTTGCACTATACACACCCCTCAGACCAATTATAAAAGAATGTTGATAGCCACAATTTTGTTATAGCAAAGAATTAGAAACAAAATCGATGTTCATCAGATGGAACATGGTTGACAGAGACTGTGATGTGTGAACATACTGAAAATTGATTGTACTGCAAGAAATGAGGAATACAGCATTCAGAAAACTAGGGGGAGATTTGTATAAACTGTTGCAGAGTAAGAGAGCTAAACATGGAGATCAATTCATACAATGGTCACAACAGTAGTAAGCAAGGGAAATAACTCCAGAAAAGCCCAAGAACTCTGATGAAAGCATTGCTCAATCTTGATTCCAAAAGTTGGATGACGAAATGTACCTCCCATCTCTTGGCAGAGGGGTAATGCAGGAACTTTCTCAGACTCAGACAATTCACTGGGATCTGTTTCTCTTGACTATACCGACTTGTTAAAAGAGAAGACTTCTATTGAGGGTGGGGAGACAGAGACAGTTGTTACTGGGTACGGGGACTGGAAAACCAAAGAGAATCACTACAATATGTCAATGCAGAGGAGATAAAGGAAAGCCCAAAGGACTGCAAATAGAATGCTTTTATTCTCCACATTCCATCTCCAATTCTGTTGGGTGTGAACACTTGAACTAGGTGTCCCTCTCAAGATAAGCTGATCACATCAGATCTCACCACCTGCTGCTAACTCAAGCCTTTGATATTGATCTTCCCACCTCCCTCAGCCTCCTCTCCCATTTAATTAGAGGGTTGAGCACTACACTCCTTCCAAAACTTTCTTTTTTAGAGGGCTTACATTAGACTTCTGGCTCATTCCACTTTCCATCTGAAGCTCTACCAGGTTTCACCTCCCCTATTGCCAGGTACCCCCTGGTGACCCTCCCTTGCTCCTCAATCTTTATTTTATGTACTGTCTTCTCCTCACTAGATTGTAAGCTCATTGAATTGAAATTATGAACTTGAAAAATTATTTTTCAAACAAAAATCTGCCTTCTTTCTCTCACCTCTGCCCCCACTAAGAAAGCAAGAAAAGCAAAACCCGTATTACAAACCTGCAGCAAGATATGAAATCTGGGTCTAGCAATGATTGAAGCAGCCTGATTTGCTCCTTAAAACAGTGGCGCAGATGTTGGAGCCCATCTTCCTGATGAAAGGATTTGGCAGGTTGTGAGCATATTTGAGGTGCTCAGTTGTGCTGCAGAGCCAGCCCACAACTCCTGTTCACTCACCTGGATCACACAGAGAGAAAGTAGCAGAGCTCCATTTGAACCCAGACCTCTGGACTCCAAAGTCAATTCTCACCTATTAGGAAGGCATTCAAGGCTCAGACAAGAAGTGGCCACCAGGTTGTTAGGTAAGTTGTGCCGGAGGCAGGATGTGATCTTGGGTTTCCCAATCCCTGAAACCCTTCTTCTTTCCACTCAACCAGACCACCCCTTCCTTTCATATGATGAAATGAAGGAAACACTGACACGCTAAGGCACGCAGGACCAGGAAGAGTCCCACACAATAGAAGCACTGAACAACCACAACACTGGGGGAGAGAGGAAAGGAAGTGGAATTTTTATGCATCTCCTTGTGGCACTTCTGGTCTCATACAGAAGAAAGACTCATAAAAATGCCCATTTCTCTAATGTGGTTAAAGACAAGCTCCCATCAAACAGCCCTGTGAGTGTGCAAGGTCAACCAGGATTGCTCCCATGAGGAAGGGGAAACTGATACCCAGAGTGGTCAAGTGACTAGACCCTGGTCACACAGGAAGCAAGTGTGAACAAGGCATCCAAGTTTCAGCACATTAATCCAAGGGCTAGGGATCAGCGAGGTTTAGATGACAGGAAGAAGAATTCTGGGTCAAGGACTGAGATGCAATGACACCTGTCTCCCTCCCCCAGGGAAGATGAAATCACAAGATCATGGGATTTAGTGGTCTTAGAGATGATCTGGTCCAACAACCTCATTTGACAGTGGAAGAAAGAGGCTCAAAGAGAGTAGTGACCTGGCCAGGGTCCCACAGGGAGGAAACACAAAAGCTGGGATTCAAAGGTAGGTCTTCTGGCCCCAAATCCAGTGCTCTACCTTCCTCTGCCTCAGATACAGCCCAGGCTCAGCTACGGGACTCTTGAAGTGTGTATGTCTGGGAGAGGACACAGCTCCCTGCTCCATCTATCTAGAAGGCTTAAATGGAGTATCTTGGTGGGTCAGGGCTTTGCGCTATAGGGGCTTTGGTGGCATGTGTTGCAGTGTCGTTGAGGAGAAATTTGTGGTGTACTCCCCTTTTTCCTCTGGTCTGTGAGACTAAGCCTTGATCCCTGTGTATCCCCTGATTTCCCAAGCTGAAGTCCAATTGCCAAGAGCTATACCCACTGTCCCTCCAGCCAAGGTGTAGGAGGTATATTTCATCAGTAATCCTTTGAAGTCATAATTGGCCCCTCAGTGATCTAAGTTCAGAGGCTTTCTGGATGTCTTCACTTTGTTATTCTTGGGGTCACTGTGAATTGGTCCCCCTGTTCTGCTCTCTTCAATCTGCATCAGTTCATATCATTCTCTCTATATTCCTCTGAATCCATCAAATTCACATTACTTAGGACACAACAAAATTCCATGATATTCATACAATCACAGTTTGATAACCCATGTCCCTTTGGATGAAAGCCCAGTTTGTTTTCAGTTCTTTGCTTTAACAAAAATTGCTGCCATAAATATTCATGTCCTGATGGCTACTTACTTTCTGTCCTTGACCCCTTTGGAATACCTGCCTGATAGTGTAGCTCCTCACCCAGCTCCCACTGCCATTCATGATTTGGGGGGCCCAGAAGGCGGTTGATGACTATTCTCTCTCAGGGCTAAAGCTGAAGGGTATCTAGCACTGTTTCTCATGAGCTACTACAACTGTGTTCCCCATTCGCAATCAGATGGAAAGATAATTATTGTGAGCAAAAGTATTTACTGAGAAAGAATAGTAAGAACAATTGGTACAAAATATCCCCTCTAAACCCAAAAATTTGGAGATGTATTCTTTTATAAACACAGCATCCCCAAAAGAAGTGGGCACAAACTTCAAACACAATGGTACTGAGATACTTGGGTTGAGGATCCCTGTAGCTAATGGGTGCTAGCCAACTCCTGACCCTGGAAGTCTTTCCTTCTTTTTGTGAAGTATTCCATGAGTAGAGCTCATTATTGGACTAAGAGGGTCACTGACATTACAGCCCAATCCTGTCATTTCTATCAGCTGTAAGGAGTCATGGTCAATGCGGTTGCCATTGCCCTTCTGTGACTGGCTTCCTTCATACATTGGAGGGGTTTCCACTGCCATCAGCCACTTCTGCCTCTGGTGGACCCAGAAGATGTGGTCCATCTTTGAGCTCATGTTGTCTAGAGCTGAAGATTCCTGGTTCTATGGAACCTCAGGAGCATAAGACCATGGACTTTTTGACTCTAAGAATCTCAACATCTTAGGACTATGCAGATAAGTTGGACCGCCTACACATGAGTTTAGAAAGAAGAAACATGGAAGTTTCCAAAAAGGACTTTTACATGGATAAAGGGGATAAAGAAGAAAGGAAAATATGGACACATTGAAAATATTGAAGTACTTGAGGGGCAACAGAGTATGCACCCCAATTTATTCCACAGTGCACCTTGGCTTCTAACCAGCTCACGCACACACAGCTCTGGCTTCTTTCATCCCTTTCAATCCACTCTGGGAAGTCTGGGTGCCTCTAGGTCCTTCAAGCCTTCCCTCCCTCAATATTCAGCCTCTTTCTCTCCCTGTAGACTATTCCCATTGACCCAGATGTCTCAATGTTCTCCCCAGAGAGGTTCCTCTGAACCCTCCCTAAGGAAGGGAAACATAATGGCTGTCACACCCTCTTAAGGACTTTCCTCTCTTTCTTGGGCTTGAGGTTTCTTCCAGGGATTGATCTTGTCATAAACATCCACTCTGGTGATGTCCAATGCCTGCAAACAGAGAAGAGATGAAACTGGCGTCCCAGAACAGAGGTTGGGACTTTTGACTCTCCAAACCCTTCCTACATTTCCCTCCATCCTGGTCATGTTCCTGTTCCCTCTCCCATCAGCAACAAGAAGTCCATCCTCCACCAGCATTTTGACCTTTTTCTTGCTCCCTGAGGAAGGTCTGGTCCCTTCCTGTACACATACCTGATAGGGACTCTCTGATGGGATTTCAGGAGAAGCAGAGGAGGATCCCAGACCCTATGGAGAGGAAAGCAACAGCTAGTAAAAGCCTCCAAAAGCAGATGTGGAAAGGAATTTAGGATGGAAAACGCTTGATCTCAAAGGAACCTTATGACATGTGACTATCAGGAGTCTTAGAGATGTCATAGTCATGGATCCCCTGAAGGCAGCTCAGAGAAGATCTAGCCTGAGCCAGACCAAAACATCAATGTCCTCTACAACTCATGTGACAAGTGGTTATCCAACCTTTCTTGGAGACTCCCCAGTGTGGAGGTCACCATGTCCCAGGTAGCCCATTCCACCTGCATCCATTCAACAAGACTTACTTAGCTTCCAGCATGTGCCACATGTTTGGCCATAAATCCTAGGAAGGCTCATTCTTTTCCTGCTTGAAACTCTTGCTATAAGAAACCTTTCTGTTCTGAGTGGTGGTGGCCTCAGCAGCAGCCCACCAACCAAGTCCTGGCTCTAGCCATTACTCGCTTCCTTCCCAGCCTGCTCTTCACCAATTGCCATGACTGATCCACAAAATGAGCCCTCCAGTCCTTGACCCTTTACTTCCTGGAACTCCTACCCAGGGCACCCCCATCCTAACCCTCCCTTCTCTCCTCCTCTCCAATTCTGGAACCATAATCACATCAAATCTGCCCTGACTTCTGATTCCATTTACCTTCTCTGTAAATTCCCAAAGGAAAGTAATCTCATCGTGGACAATGAGCACTTTTACATGTATTTGTACATTAGTCACTTAGCAGAGTGCTTGTCATGTAGTAAGCACTGAATATGATTTGATTATGAAATCATTCACTAGATGAATGATTTTTTTATTCATTCATTTCTTTATTCATGGGAAGAACAGAGAAGAGTGAGATAGTCCTCCAGTCAAGGAGCTAATACTCTTTTGGGAGGAAACAGACGATTAGTAGACATTAGTAAACAGATGATCAAATACCAAACATACACAGAAGAATGACCAGAGGGAGGGCACGAGCAATGGGAAGGAGCAGGGCAGGGTCCTGTTGGGGTTGGCATTGAGCTGAACTAGACAAGAGGGTCTGGATTCCATGAGAAGGAGGTAAGGAGAGAGCACCTTACAGGTCTGGAACATCACCTGAACTGAGGCCCAGAGAGGACAGGTGGAAGATGATGTCCTTGGAGCAATAGAGGAGCTAATTAGATTGAACCTTTGAGTTGAGGAAGGACAGAGCCATCAAAGGAGCAGTGGGTAGTGGGTAAAGACTTGACCTGGACGTCAGAATGAGCAGATTTCAGGTCTGGCCTCTGACACAAACTGGCCTTAAGAACATGGACAAGTCCATTAAATGGTTAGCAAATCTCTCTCTCTCTCTCTCTCTCTCTCTCTCTCTCTCTCTCTCTCTCTCTGAGAGAGAGAGAGAGAGAGAGAGAGAGGCTCCCTATCAACATGGGGTTCCTCACACCAATGAAACCAGCAAATGGATCCAAACAAACCAACCAAGGGTGGTTATAATTTCTTTTCCTGGCAATAGCGAGACACTGAGCCTTTGTGATTCAGGGAGGGACTTCATCAAACCTCTGCCTTAGGTATATGTTGGCCAGCAGTGTGGAGGAGAGGGGAGCTTGGGATAATAAGGAAGAAGCTGTTGTAGTAGTCCAGAACTGAGTTGATGATGTCTTGAACTAGAGTATTGTCGTGTTTGAGAGGAGACATGGGGGTGATGGGGAAAGAAACTGGGCATTTTGTTTCTGGGAAATTTCCTGATATCAAGCCTCAAGTGACCTCCACAAATTCTATTCCTTGCTCATTCTTGTGCTCTGTGGGTCCAAAGAGGATCAATCTAATCCCTCCCCAACATGTCATCACTCCAAAGAGAGTTATCAGGTTCTGACCTACTACCACATCCCCTCCAAAGTCTTCTGTTGTCCAGACTAGTCCCCTACCAAATCTCTCCACGATGCTAAAGAATGCTCACCCTTTTTTCCCCCTTCCTCCAGCTCATCGGGGTGCTCTAGTGATCCTGCCATCTTTCAGGCACATTAAAAGCCTAAGGCTCAGGGCCAGGAAGAATCTCCAGATCTTCACAAAGGGGCCCCTTCCCACTCCCTGACACACACCGCAAAGTCCTGGAAGTGAATGAAGATCTTCTGTCCCTACCTGTGCAGGCAGAGCTGAGCCTTTTGGGCAAACAGTATTCTCATAAAGGGTGTTGGCCTCACCTGGAGGGAGAAAAACCCAGACAGAAGATTTCCTTGGAGTATCCCGAGCCTGAAGTCCATGATGGTGTGACTCTTCCTCCTTCCCACCCCCACCCACTCAACAAACACCTGAAGAGGACACATTTGAGCAGTAATTTAGAAGCATAGATGTTGAGGTGGAAGTGACTGTGGAGGCCAGCTCCTCCAGCTCTCTCCATACATGAGGAAATTGTGGCATAGGGATATTCCCCAGGGTCACACAAGTATTAAGCACAGAGTCAGAATGGGAGCACGGTAGTAGAAAAGGGAGTGGAGAGTGTTGAACGTCACCAGTCCTGGACCTGAACAAAGGGCAACTTTATTCTTACTCCTCTAAATATGAGGGGCTTTGACAGTGCCTAATGGGGGTCCATGTTAATAAATACTGTTTGAAGTAAATCAAATGGAAGATTCTTATCTGAGTTGAATCCTGTGAGGCTTCATGGTCTTCTTATCTAAGAGAAGTAAAGGAAGTTGGTCCTCATTGAAAGACCCTCATTGGTTCTCCATGAAACAAAGAAAGGAAACTGTTTGGAGCCATATCTCCCAAAGCCACCATTAGGTACTGGTTTCACTGGTTGGAGCTTTCACTTACCATGTTTGGGTGTTGAGTGGTTCTTCTCTAAAAGGTGGAGTTTGCTGGCCCTTAAGAAAGAACAGACATGTGGGAGTGAGATTCCCAAGCTAAGCAAAAGATTTCCCTGAGCTGGAAGGGACCATTGGAGCAGAGTCAAGGCTTGTCTTGGGATACCCTCAGGCTTTCATGCTTTAACCCTAAATACAGCCTCCTCATTCTTAGTTTCTTCACCTATAGATGTTATTAGTCTCCTATTCAGCTTGTCCGTGCAGTCTGGATCTGCCTCAGTGATCTTTTCCCTCAATTGGCCTCTCACTAGGTTGTGAGTAGTAACCTATCTCCTTTCTCCCAGCTGCCCTTTCCATTCTTTTTCTCTGTGCCTTCTTGGGCCTCAGTCCTTTTGTTTGAGGGTCTAAGAAAAATGGTCAGGTTGGGGGGTGGAGCCAAGATGGCACAGTGAAAGCAGTGACTTGCTTGAGCTCTTCCCCAAACCCCTCCAAATACCTATAAAAAATGGCTCTAAACAAATTCTAAAGCAGCAGAACCCACAAAAAGGCAGAGTGAACCAAATTTCCAGCCCAAAACAATCTGATGATTGATCAGAGAGGTATATCACACTGGGCTGGTAGAGGAGCACAGTGCGGCGTGGGTGCACAGGAAGCAGCGGACCTGAAGCAGGCCTCAGAGGACTGAATCTTGGGCAGCTGTGGTGGCTTCCAGACCTCTCAACCCACAAACAGCAAAGACAACTTAGAAAGTCAGTGGGAAAAGTCTGTTTCTATGGTGAGAGAGAAGCTAGGTCAGGGCCAGGTCCAGAACACAGTGTGGGCACCAGGGCAGTGGTTGCATCCTGAGCTTCTGGCCCACAGACTGAGGGGGAATCCAGTGGCTGATCAGAGAGGGATTGCAGGGATCTCTTTGCCAGTGCTCAGGCAGCAATCTCTTGCTTTGCCCATGCTTGGATCTGGGTCACAGTTCTGGGTGGCAGTCCTCAGACGAGGAGGAGTGCTGGCACGGTGGAACTTGTAGTGGCAGTGGAGAGGAAACCTTCCTCACAGTTCCATGACAGAAAGGAGTGCTTGTGATCACTAACAGACCAAAGCACAGGCCAGGAAAGGAGTAAACACCTCGCCCCTTATCATACCACCTTGCAAAAACTGAAAATTTATAGGTCCCTACAAGTATCTCTGAAAACAGCTATAAACCCCAAAGCTTGGGACAGTACATTCTCCACATTGGAAGCAGACTCTTACCTTAACAAAGAGTTTAAAACTCAGGTAATCGGCTGGGATCATGAGCAAGCAGCACAAAAAGAGTCAGACTATATTATCTTATTTTGGTGACAGAAGACAACAAAGTCAAAGCTCCTACATCCAAAGCCTCTAAGAAAAATATGAATCAGTCCCAGGCCTTGAAAGAGCTCAAAAGAGATTTAGAGAAGCAAGTAAGAGAAGTAGAGGAAAAATTGGGAAGAGAAATGAGAGTGATGCAAGAAAATCACAAAAAACAAGTCAACAGCTTGCTAAAGGAGACCCACAAAAATACTAAAGGAAATAACACCTTAAAAAATAGCCTAATCCAAATGGCAAAAGAGGTCCAAAAAGCCAATGAGGAGAAGAATGCCCTACAAAGCAAAATTGGCCAAATGGAAAAGGAAGTCCAAAAGATTACTGAGGAAAATACTTCCTTAAAAATTAGAATAGAGCAATTGGAACCTAGTGACTTTATGAGAAATCAAGACACTGTAAAACAAATCCAAAAGAATGGAAAAAATAGAAGACAATGTGAAATATCTCATTGGAAAAACAACTGACCTGGAAAATAGATCCAGGAGAGAGAATTCAAAAATTATTGGACTATCTGAAAGCCATGATCAAAAAAGAGCCTAGACATCATCTTTCAAGAAATTATCAAGGAAAACTGCCCTGATTAGTAGAACCAGAGGGCAAAATAGAAATTGAAAGAATCCACGATCTCCTCCTGAAAGAGATCCCCAAAGGAAAACTCCTAGGAATATTGTAGCCAAATTCCAGAGTTCCCAGGTCAAGGAGAAAATATTACAAGCTGCCAGAAGAAACAATTCAAGTACTGTGGAAACACAATCAGGATAACACAAGATTTAGCAGCTTCTACATTAAAGGACCACGGGCATGGAATATAATATTCTGGAGGGCAAAGGAGATAGGATTACAACCAAGAATCACCTACCCAGCAAAACTGAGTATAATCCTTCAGGGGAAAAATGGTCATTCAGTGAGATAGAGGACTTTCAAGCATTCTTGATGAAAAGACCAGAGCTGAATAGAAAATTTGACTTTCAAATACAGGACTCAAGTGGAACACGAAGAGGTAAACAGGAAAGAGAAATCATAAGAGACTTATTAAGATTGAACTGTTTACATTCCTGCATGGAAAGATGATATTTATAACTCATGAGACCTTTGTCAGTATTAGGGTAGTTGGAGGAAAAAAATTATATGTATGTATATGTAGATAGATAGATAGAGGCACAGGGTGAGTTGAAGATTAAGGGGTCATATCTGGAGAATAAAATTAAGGGATGAGGAGGATATACTCAGAGAAGAAGAAAGGGAGAGGTAGAATGGGGTAAATTATCTCACAAAAAAACAGAAAAGTCTCTTACAGTGGAGGGAAAGGAGGGGAAGGTGAGAGGGAATGAGTGAATCTTATTCTCATAGGATTTGGCTTAAGGAGGGAATAACATACATTCAATTGGGTATGGAAATCTGTCTTACCCTACAGGAAAATAGGGGGAGAAGGGGACAAGAGAGCAGGGGGATGATAGAGAGGAGGGCAGATTGGGAAAGGGGGTAATCAGAAGTAAATACTTCTGAGGAGGGACAGGGTCAAAAGAAAGAATAGAATAAATAGGAGGGCAGGATAGGACTAAGGGAAAGAGAGTTAGTTTTTCACAACATGTCTACTATGGACGTGTTTTGCATAACTGCACATGTATAACCTATATTGAGTTGCTTGCCTTTTCAATGAGGGTGGGTGGGGAGGGAGGAAGAGAGAAAATTTGAAACCTAAAGTTTTAAAAACATATGTTTAAAAAAATGTTTTCACATGCTACTGGGAAATAAGAAATACAGGAAATGGGGTACAGAAGTCTATCCTGCCCTATAGGAAAATAGAAGGGGAAGGGGATAAGAGAAGGGGAGAGAGATAGAAGAGAGGACAGACTAGGGGAAGGGATATTCAGAATGCATGCCATCTTGGGGTGGGGAAGGGGGGAGATGGGGTGAAAATTTGGAATTCAAAAACTTGTGGGAGTGAATGTTGAAAACTAAAAAAAATAAATTTATATTAAAAAAAAACCAATTCAAGTATTATGGAAACACAATCAGATAACACAAGATTTAGCAGCTTCTACATTAAAGGACCACAGGGCATGGAATATGATATTCCAGAGGGCAAAGAAGATAGGATTACAACCAAGAATCACCTACCCAGCAAAACTGAGTATAATCCTTCAGGGGAAAAAATGGTCATTCAGTGAAATAGAGGACTTTCAAGCATTCTTGATGAAAAGACCAGAACTGAATAGAAAATCTGACTTTCAAACACAAGACTCAAGTGGAACAGGAAGAGGTAAACAGGAAAGAGAAATCATAAGAGACTTATTAAGATTGAACTATTTACATTCCTGCATGGAAAGATGATATTTATAACTCATGAGATCTTTGTCAGTATTAGGGTAGTTGGAGAGGGGGAAAAATTATATGTATGTATGTAGATAGAGAGGTAGATACAGGGCACAGGGTGAGTTGAGGATTAAGGGGTCATATCTGGAGAATAAAATTAAGGGATGAGAGAGGATTATACTAACAGAAGAAGAAAGGGAGAGGTAGAACAGGGTAAATTATCTCACAAAAAGAAAACAGAAAAGAAAAGGCTCTTACAGTGGAGGGGAAATGGGGGAAGTTAAGAGGGAATGAGTGAATCTTATTCTCATAGGATTTGTCTTAAGGAGGGAATAACATACACATTCAATTGGGTATGGAAATCTGTCTTACCCTACAGGAAAATAGGGGGAGAAGGGGACAAGAGAGCAGGAGGATGATAGAGAGGAGGGCAGATTGGGAAAGTGGGTAATCAGAAGCAAATACTCCTGAGGAGGGACAGGGTCAAAAGAAAGAATAGAATAAATGGGAGGGCAGGATAGGATTAAGGGAAAGAGAGTAAATTTTTCACAACATGTCTACTATGGAAGTGTTTTGCATAACTGCACATATATAACCTATATTGAGTTGCTTGTCTTTTCAATGAGGGTGGGTGGGGAGGGAAGAAGGGAGAAAATTTGGAACCCAAAGTTTTAAAAACACGTTTTAAAAAAATGTTTTCACATGCAACTGGGAAATAAGAAATACAGGAAATGGGGTACAAAAGTCTATCCTGCCCTACAGGAAAATAGAAGGGGAAGGGGATAAGAGGTGGGGTAGAGATAGAAAAGAGGGCAGACTAGGGGAAGGGGTATTCAGAATCCATGCCATCTTGGGGTAGGGGTAGGGTCAAAATGGGGTGAAAATTTGGAACTCAAAATCTTGTGGAAGTAAATGTCAAAAACTAAAAATTAATTTATATCAATAAAAAAATATATAATTTTTAAAAATGGTCAGGTCTAGTCAGTATGCCAATGTGGAAGTGAACACCTGTTTCCAAGAGACAATTAAGTGAGCGATGGGAAAGGATGAAAGCCAGAGAAGAAGGCTACCCATGGGAATTAGTGCTGAAAAGTAGGAGTTTAGGAAGGGAGGTAGATCGGGTAGAAAAGAGGATACAGTGTGCAGAAGATGATGCTGGTATCTGTCCCCAACCAGGGAGACAGACTACGAGTGAAGACAACTATAGGAAGCATTATTTTACCTTCCAGTCTTTATAAAGAACAGGAAATAGATGAGGGCCCCAATGAGAGCGACTCCAGCTAGGACTGCAATCACAGTGCTGGTGATGGCCCCTCCAGAGAGTGAGGAACCTTTACTTCCTCCTGTAGACTTTTCTGCTGTGGAGAGGGTAGAGAAAAAGAACCTTGAGTGTTTTGGAGCCTAGCACTTGTACACAGTGCCTGACACTCTGTAAGTACTTAATAAATGCTTGATGATCCATGATGTAGACTTGTTCCTCAGGATTAAGTTTATAATTTAGTTGGTCATTTTCAATTTTTTCTTCCAAGGTTCTTTATTACATACAATTTTTATGATATTTTGATCAATAGAAGACACTTAATAATTTTCTTTTTGTGTGTTTGTGAGGTTTTTATGCTTTAATGCATGGTCAGTTTTTGTAAAAGTGCCACACCCAGCTGAGAAATAAGTATATTCTTTTCGATTCCTATTCAATAACCACCAGAGATCGACCATATTAGCTTTTCCTTTAAGAATTTAGATATTATGGACATGACAGACTTTGTTTCTTTTCTTACATTATATTTAAGTTTGTAACATGTTTCTTTTTCTTTTTGAATTATGTATTTAAGTCTAAAATAAAAAAGAGATAAAAAATACAAGCATTCTTCTGAGAAGGGCTCCCTGTGCTACAAACAGCTTGGCTGCCTCAGGGCTCTTGGACACAAAAGAAAGGGAAGCCCCCTGCTCCCATCATTCTCTCTTCCCCAGTTACCCCCTTCATTTACTCAGCTCCTACCAGTCTGTGGTTCCAGGAAGTAGTTAATGCATATATTATGATTCTGAGCCTTGTTTCCTCTCCATATGCTGACACTTGCCTCCTCGGGGCCTCAGTTTCCCCATCTGTACAATGAGGGAGCAGCACTAGCTGGCTTCTAGGTACCTTTCATCTCCAAGTGTGTGATACCCTCCAGGATCCTTGCACCCACTTTACAAAGGAGAAAACGGAGGTTCAATGAGATGATGTGATTGTTCAGACAGAGAGTGACTTCTCCTATTCCTGCACCTGAGCTCGCTCCCTCTTTGCCCAATGGTCCTTGTGGGCCTTTCCCAGACAAGGCACCTGAAGGCTCAAACCTGGCAGAGATCAGAGGATCCTGGGTCTCCGTCTGGAAGGACTTTTGCTGTTATTTAATGTATGCCATTATTTTCTCGATGAGAAAAACGGAGGCTTCCAGGGGCTGAGTGACTCATAATAAGTAGATTGCATAATAAAAAACAGAACTGGGGTTGGAACCCAGGCTTCCTGGCTCTGAAGTCAGGCTCCCTTTAGCTCACCCCAAATACTCTCTCTGCAGGATGTTGTCTCCCTATAGATATGGGAATGACTGGCAGAGGGACAGGCCTGAGCTTAGAGTACTTTCCTTTGGGCACCTCCTTCTTCAGGTACATTGGCGGGGTACCCTGGAGGCCCCCATGGAGCTTCACTGGCAGACCCAGCCTCCTTCTTCCAAAGTCAGAGCCCCTGCCAGGGTTGGGCTTCCTGTTGGACACCGGAGGCAGTGCTCCCTTGCACAAAACTTCCCTGGAGAGGTGCATGGACAGGGCATCTAATGGGGAGACCTAGGACATCAATAGAGCCCTGCTTGGGGTGTGAGAAGCTTATGCTCCCACAGGGTCCCTGCAGATCTGAGCCTTATGCACTACCCCTGGTCAAATGAGATGACTTTTGTCAAGAGCTTAGCGTGGTGCCTGGACACAGTAGGCACACAATAAATGCTTGTTTCCTTCCTCCTCCCCCTAGTCCAGCTGTTGCTCCTCCTTTGACCAGCTGGGGACACAAAGAGGTCAGCAGATGCTCTCAGCCCCAGGAGAGATTCTGCAGCATCCCCTGAGGGCTCAGTAGCCTTGGCTGGGATGAGACCAGAGGAGGCCAAGAGTCTGCCCCTGACTGAGCAGCAGAGAACATCTGACCCAAGATCCCACAGCAGGCCTGATCAATGGTCCTGCAGCCTCTGCCTAGCCATGACCTCATCAGTGTTCAGGCCTCTCTTTCCCTGATGGACAGCTCTGCTTGTGGACTCTCCTTATGCTATGTGACATCAGACCCCCTGTGATGACCCCACTTGGGTCCTAGCTCTCTCCTTGGGAAGCACACAGAGCATCGTTGACCTGATTCCCCGAAGGGCCCCTCAGTAAGGAGTCTGGACTTGAGCTCTGCTGGGTCCAGCTGGAAAGGGAGTGTCAGTGACTGGGCCCACCCCCAGCAAGGTTCCCTTCTGTCTCATGGAATTTGAACTTTCTTGGGGCAATTGAACGTCAGGCACAACTGGACATGCCCACGTGCCATTGGAAGCCCTCAGCAGCCCATCCTAGTTTCATACTATGGCATGGGAAAGCTGGGAGGAGGAACAAAATTACCCCCTAAATTCTGACTGCCCCTCCCAACCACCCTTGTCTCCCAAGAATGCCTGGGCTTACAGCCCCTCTAAAGTACCCTATCTAGGTTTGGGGCTTGGACAACACGAGAAAATGAGTCAATGTCAAGTTGACACTCCTCCTCCAGCACCTTCTTTGGCCCTCCTGCTCTCAGACTTCCTAGAGTTAATTAGGAGCCTCTAAGGGGCTCTGAGATTAGCCCACCCCACCCTTGGGATGTAGGCCTTGGTGACAAAGCTGGGATCCCAAAGATCCCTGCCCACGTTGGCCATGCTGAACTGGACCACCAGGGGCTGCCTGGGGCTAATCTCTCCTAGCCTGCTCCTGGTGCTGCCAGGGGTGTGGTTCTGCATTCTCTCTGCTCCCTGGGCAAGGAACTTAGGGGAGGGCTCTGGCCCCAGACTGAGGGAGGGTATTGGAGTGACGGCATGGCCCGTGGGAAGGGTATCACTTACCATACACGGCTAAATATCCTTCTGCTGTTACTATCTTGCTGCTTGTGGGATCAAGAAATTGTACGAAGTAGTCACCAGTGTCATTGAGGATGAGGTCACGGATGATCAGGGAGCCATTGGAGAACACGTTCAGCCGGCTATCTGCTGATGTCAGCTGTCCACTAGCAACCTGGTAGAAAGCGATCTCGTTGGAGGGGCCTACTGCCCCTCTGTACCAAGTATAGCTGGGAGTCTGCTCTGAGGACCCCTGGATGTCCAAGGTGACACTGCTGCCCACTGCCCCATAGGGTGGGTTTGGCACAACACTGACGGAATCACTTTGGGCAGATGTTGGCTGGATCCAGTCGCTGAGGATGGAGGCTGAGAGGGGAGGAAGGAGGCAGAGGTCAGCTGCCCTCCTGAGAGGCCCAGGTCACTGAGCTGTCCCCAACATAAGCCTGCCCCAGGGTCTGCTGGGGGCTCAGTGTGATATGTTTGAAGGGGATTCATGTGCTGCACATTAATCTGACAGTTCGTCTGTACATGACCTGAGAGTTTACTCTGTACTACATTTTAAGCTCCCTCCATGGACTTGATTCAAAAAGGACCTTTCCAGTGGGGAAGGTAAGACACTGAAGGGAGATATGAGTCAATGGAGTGTTATGTTTGAAGATAAAAATCAGATCTTAGACCTGGAGAGAACCTTAGAGTCACTGAGTCAAATGCCCTCAATTTACAGGTGAGGAAATTGAGGTCCACATAACGTAACTGATGTGAGCAGTATTAAATAGGAAATGGCAGAGGTAGGATTTGAATCCAGATCTTTTGGCCCAAATCCAGGAAGCCCTTTCCCACTAAACCCTGGGTGCATTTTAAGGCTGACAGAGTTTGGCTTCCAAGCAACCTTGGAAGGAATGTGGTGTTCCAGGTAAAAACAAACCCAAGCTAAGAGGGGTAAATGACCTGTCATTGGTCACACAGCTAGTCAGTATCAGAGCTGGGGTCCACCCCTGGGTCTCTGACTGTAAAGACTCCCTCAGCCTCTTCAGAGGTTGCTCAGCTCCAGGACTGGATGGTGCCCTGAGTCTCAGATATGGACTGAGCCTTGAGTTGCTAATTCCTCTCTGCCCCTGGCTCAGGGAAGATACCCCTGGCCAAGTCTGCAGAGACTCTCTCTGGTACAGACACCCCGGGACTGATCTCCTTCCTCCTGGTCTTTACATTGGTTGACTTGTCTTTGTCTGAGCTAGAGTCCCCAAAGCTCCCCGTGTTCCCCCAGGCTCCAGCAAAGCTGATGTCTCACCTGTGATCAGAAGCCCCTTCCAGGGGCTGCCCCCACTCTGGGGAGTTTCTGAGGGGCTCTCCATTGGTCTGTGCTGTCCACTGTGTGTGATCACTTCTCTCTCCTTGCCAGGAATCTCTGCCTTCTTTTCTGATCTGAGTCTGCACTTTACAGAGCCTAAGTGCAGACCCTGGAGGTGTCCCTGCTGGGGACCAGGATCAAGGCTGTCCCTGCATGCAGCCCAGAGCTGTGTCTGTTCTGTCTCCTTCTCCTTCTGGAGAGGACTGAGGTGTCTCCTTCAGGGCCGGAACTTCTCTATCTGCCACATTCACACGGGCCCCACAAGGCAGGGACTTGACCTCTGCCTTTCTCCTCCTCCCCTTTCCTCCTCTTTCTCACTCTCCCAGCTGCTGTGGTTTCCTGCCTCTCCCAGGGAGGCCCTCCCCTGCACAGATCCCTCCCACTGTCCATGGAGAAGTGGTTCTTTCCCCAAGGGGAACATGGGACACTCAGTGCTACCTGCTGTTGATCTCTACTTCCACCCAATCTTCGTCCTTATTTCCCTCTCAGAGGAGAGATTCTTTGGGCCCCTAAATGACAGAGAATGGTGGGCAGAGGCATGTGCATGGATCCTTCTAGGACCCAGGCTGCTTAGCATCCCCTCTGTTATCAGGCCAGGGGAGAGGACCTTGGGCTTTTCTCAAGCATTTCACTGGGGCTTCTGGGTGGGTCCAACATGACAGGGGAGAGGGAATACGGATGATGCAGACTAGAGCTGCCTGCTCTATAGCAGGAGCACAGAGAGTGCATCTTCCTCTACCATCACCACCCACCTTCCCATTGAGGTGACTCAGTTGATGGAAGGCTGGGTTTGGGGAGAAGAAGACAGGAAACAGTCTTCACTTCCACATTTTTTTGGGGGAAAGGGACTAGACCTGGACTTTTCACAGCCAACAAACAAAGCAGACTTTGTCTAGGAAGAGATGGAAAAAATGGAGAGGCAGTCAGGAGGACATGGGTAGGACATTGGCAGTAGATTCAGAGAGAGATGGGGGAAGAGCTGTTAGCCTCTTAATGAGTCATAGAAAGAGAAAGCAGGTGAGGGGGGAAGGCCTTTGGCACAAGACTGGCCCAGAGACTGCATCAGTGGGAGAAAGAGCCTCCAGGTGAAGGAGCTGAGAATTGGGAGAAGGTGATCCTTCTTCAGGCCAAAGACCTCAGGGACGGACAAGTAACCTAGAGCCCTGGGAGAAGACATGAAGCTTGAGGGTATCCCAAGAGAAGTCTTAGGGTGGCTGTAGGGATCAGAAAACTGGGCTACTCTGTTGGGGAGTGTCATTTCCTTGTGTTTCTTCTTTCTTCAGGTCCAGAACATGCCACCTTCCAGAGAACCATTCTTTTTTTTTTATGGCAATTGGGATTAAGTGACTTGCCCAGGGTCACACAGCTAATAAGAGTCAAGTGTTTGGTCTGAAGCTGGATTTGAACTCAGGTCCTCCTGACTTCAGGGCCGATGCTGTATCCACTGTGCCACTAGCTGCTCCCAGAAAACCATTCAGCACCCAAGACAGTAAGTAAAGTCACCAACCCATGAAAGCTGCAGCCAAGCAGTGCCTTAGGATGAAGGGCTCCAATCAGAGACTCCTTTTTGGTCTCTGCAAGGAGAAGATATGAGCAATTTCTCCAAGGAAGAACAACTCTCTTCTATTTTCTTTATTAGGAGGACAACTGAGACTGATACAATTCAGTTGCTCCAGAAGTCCTGCCCTCCATACAATTTTAACAGCATTTACCAGTATGTAAACTCATTCGGCACCGTGTAGGACCCTCACATTTACAGGATTCAGAATTAAATGACTCAGTGCATGGGTCACTCTCAACATTCTCCCCTGCTCATGTTCTGGCTCTGGGCTTCATACCTGTATGACCTTTGGAAAACAGCCTCATGCCTCAGTTTCCTCCACAGACAGGGGCCCATGTTAGCTTGCCTCAGGAGTTTCTTCCACCTTGAAATCCATGCTCCTGTTATTACTACTTGGGTGCAAGGTGGCTTTTATGCACAAGATGACTTATAGTCAGTGGGGATTGTTTTTGTTTTCTCCATCACCTTCCATGGCCAAAGAATTCATAGCTCAAAGGCCAAAGTATCAGTGATGAGCTTTCCTGTACCTGATGGTGTCTTTCTCCAGAAATCAGATGTAGCTTGTGGAGGGGACTTTACTGGAAGCCCTTCCAGAATGGGGGAACCTTCCAGAGCTGCCATCCCAGCCATGCAGCCTCTGGAACCTCTGGGTCATAGTCATGCCTAAATGAAGCATGAGAGTGGGCATTGTGATCCAAATGACACATTCCTTGTCCTTAGGGAGCTTACATTCTTCTATAGCTTTTCAATTCTCGCCATCAAGACAGAGTCAAAGATGAGTGGAGGTGATAAGATGGGGCCCATTTAGAGACAGACTCTAGAGGCCCAGGCTCCTAGAACCAAAGCCCAGACGTCTTAAAACCCAGTGTCTGCACACCCCTTCATGAAATCATAGCACCCCAGAACCTCAGAACCCTGGATAAGAGACATCCTGAAAGTGTCCACACTAAGCATTTTGTCTGTCTCTTCCCCTATCACAAATACTCTCCCTCCACACCTTCAGCTTCCAGCTAACATCCTCCTTCCCCAAGAAGACTCTCCCAATCCAACCTAATTCTAATGCCTTCTCTCTCTCTTGATTGTCTCCAATTATCCTGTCTACATCTTATTTGTACAGAGTTGTTTGTAAGTGGTTTCACCCTTTAGAGTGTAAGCTCCTTGAAGGCAGAGATTGTCTTTCGCTTTTCCTCAGTTCTTAGCTCAATGCCTGGCACATAGTAGGCACTTGATAAATGCTTGTTGACTGACTCTCTGTGGAGAAGATGGACAGGAGGAACTTCCCCTCTGCCCTCCTTATTTGTATGTAGGCAGTGAGGTGGAGGGCAAATGAAGGAATCAGGCCCCCACAGAATTCAGTGCCAGGATACCCTAAGGAAATTGGGCTGTGTTTCTCCTCTTCCAGGTGAACATACTGCCTTGTATAGAACACTCTTTGATCTGGGTATGCTTCAGGCACTTTGATGTACCTGAGGGGTTGAATGATCACCAGAGCTCCCTGATGACATGGGGAGTGTCTGAAGGAGGGCAAAAAGAACAGTGTGTAATCCCTGGCATTTTGAAGAGATCTGGCTAGGGGCCAGCTTGCAGCAGAGAAGACTTTTTGATGGGGATGTGGTTGTAGGTGTTAATGGTCTTTGGAGGGAGTTCATGTGGGGGAGAGATTAGATTTACCATCCTTGACCCCAGTGGGCACCACTGGGAGTAAGGAATGGAAATTATGGAGGGGTAAATTAAATAGGGGCAGCCAGGAGCACCATAGTCCACAGAGTATGTGGTCCTAGAGCCAAAAATCCTTATCTTTCATGAGTTCAAATCTGGCCTTAGAAGCTTACCAGCTGTGTGACCCTGGGCAAGTCACTCAACCTGTTTGCCTCAGTTTTGCATCTGTAAGATAAGCTGGGGAAGGAAATAGCAAACTGCTTCATTATCTTTCTCAAGAAAACCCCACAAGGAGGGTAGCTAGGTGGCGCAGTGGATAGAGCTCCAGCCTTGGAGTCAGGAGGACCTGAGTTCAAATCTGCCCTCTGACCCTTGACACTTACTAGCTGTGTGACCCCAGGCAAGTCACTTAACCCTGATTGCCTCACCAAAAAAAGGAAAAAAAAAGGAAACCCCACAAGGGGTCATGAAGGGTAAGACATGACTGAACAACAATAGATATTCTATCATTTTTTTGATTCCATGGTCTTAGAGTCTGTTACTTAGAGTCTATGGAGTCAGGCTGGATCTTTGATTCTGAATGAAATCAGCCTTGGCCAAGATCATCTCTGAGGTCCCCACCAATGAAAAAATTCTACCACCATTTTAGCTCAATTTGTCCACACTGTGGACTCAACACATTCAAAATCAAAGCCATCATCTTGTATTTTTTAATTACTTTATTTTTAGTTTTCAACATTCACTTCCATAAGATTTTGAGTTCTAAATTTTCTTCCCCTCCCCACTCCCCTCCTTTCTCCCCAAGATGGCATGCAATCTGGTATACACTCTACGTATACATTCATATTAAACCTATTTTCACATTAGCCACGCTGTAAAGAAAGATTAGAACCAATGGGAGGAACCATGACAAAGAAAACAGAAACAAAAAGAGAAAAAGGAGAGAGAGAGAGAGCAAATAGTGTGCTTCAGTCTTCATTCAGACTCTACAGTTCTTTCTCTGGATTTGGACAGCATTTTCCATCATGAGTCCCTTGGAATTGTCTTAGATCTTTGCACTGCTGGGAAGAGCTAAGTACATCAAAGTTAGTCATGGAACAATGTTGCTGTTACTGTGTACAGTGTTCTCTAGGTTCTGCTCACTTCACTCAGCATCAGTTCATGTAATTCTTTCCAGGTTTTCCTGAAGTCTGCCTGCTCATCATTTCTTATGGAACAGTAGTATTCTATTACATTCATATACCATAACTTGTTCAGCCATTCCCCAATTGATGGGCATCCCCTCAAATTCTATTTCTTGGACACCACAAAAAGAGCTGCTAGAAATATTTTTGTGCGCATGGGTCCTTTTCCCATTTTTTGTGATCTCTTTGGGATACAGACCTGGAAGTGATATTGCTGGGTCAAAGGGTTTGATAGCCCTTTGGGCATTGCTGTCCAGACTGGTTGGATCAATTCACAATTCCACTAACAGTGCATCAGTGTTCCAATTTTCCCACATCTCCAACATTTATCACTTTCCTTTTTTGTCACGTTAACCAAACTGATAGCTGTGATGTGGTACCTCAGAATTGTTTTCATTTGCATTTCTCTAATCAATAATGATTTAGAACATTTTTTCATATGACTATGGATAGCTTTAATTTCTTTATCTGAAAACTGCCTGTTCATATCCTTTGACCATTTATCAACTGGGGAATGACTTGTATTCTTATAAATTTGATTCAGTTCTCAATATATTTGAGAAATGAGGCCTTTATCAGAGACACTGGCTTAAAAAAAATGTTTCCCAGCTTTGTGCTTCCCTTCTAATGTTGGTTGCATTGGCTTTGTTTGTGCAAAACCTTTTCAATTTAATGTAATCAAAATAATCCATTTTGCATTTCATAATGTTTTCTATCTCTTATTTGTTCATAAATTCTTCCATTCTCCATCAGTCTGACAGGTAAGCTATTCCTTGCTCTCTTATTTTGCTGATAGTGTCAGCCTTTATGTCTGAATCTTGTACACATTTTGACTTTATCTTGGTATAGTGTGTAAGATGTTGGTCTATGCCTAGTTTCTGCCCTACTCTTTTCCAGT